AACTTTTAATTGTATAGCTTTATTGTGGTAGGCAGAATTCTAAGATGGCCTCCAAGATTTCTGACCCCTGATATGCACACACTTTCTCCCAGTTATTCAATTAAATACTAATCTACAAACTGCTGTGAAGAGACATTACAGATGAAATTAAAGTCCCAAATCAGTTTATTCAGGTGGGCTGACCTAATCACATTAGCCCCTTAAAAGCACCAGTTTTCTCTGGCTGTTCTGGCTAGTCACAGAGGTGTAAATTAGAGAGATGTGTTCTCCTTGGTGTGGAAGGAAGCAAATATCCCTCTATCAACCATGAAGCTTGTATTGTTACAAAATCCTCCCCCACCCCCAGGGCGCATTGCTCATTAAGATAAGTGGGCTTTCCTACCTGCCACCTGTAGAATTTCTCCCACTAAACCCTATTTCCCATCTACCAGTGAGGTGATGTGTGTCAGCAACACCTTTGTCCTCTGCACACACTGTTCCCGCATCGCCAAACCACTCTTGGTTCTCACACCCACTACTCAACACCATACAGCTGGGCCCCTTTGCATCAAGTCTTCTATTCAAAGTTCAGGATGTGTGTTGCCATTTAGACTTGTTTATATTTTTCAGTAATGTTTTATAATTATTTTCAAATAGATCATTACTTGTTTTTAGCACACCTGTAAATACTATGGCTTTCAAAGCTCTTATGACTAAGCTAACTTTTTTCTGTTTATAACTAATCTATGCTGGCATAGAGAGAAGGTATTGGATCTGTATATTTTTTTTCTCCAACTGGACACAGAGAGTTTACTACCAATTAAGGTGTAAATGGATGAAAAAATAAAGCATTCATGTCTTAAACAGAACCATTTAGCCATCCAAGTCCTCAGACCCTGAAAGAATGACCTATAATGATGTCATTCACAGTATGGGCATAGTACTGCTACCTTTTATGCCTGCTTCTAAGGCATGTGTGCTTGCTGTTGGGAGAATAGATAGCAAAACAAAAGAAAAAGAAAAAAAAAGAACAGTTGCTCAATCCCTTAACTTCTCCTAAGGTTCAGGTCACTTCATTTTTGGGCATCTGAGGTTCAAGATTATTAACCAAAATATACCTTCTCTTTGCAATGAGGTTTGAGATCTTTTCATGCTTTAATAGCTTCTCACAAGGCATTCTGGAAGTCATTGTCCACCGCTGGTCATTCACAAGTCAAATATGTCTTCCGACTCCAAGCCCAAAGAAATGAAAATTTCTTGTTGCTCTCTGGATCTGTCTTTCCTTTAACATCCCAACATTTATTCCCGTTCTTCTTTTGCCCTCATGGTTTCCATCATCGCCATACGGAGCCCCAGATCTTGCAGTACCATAAGGGAGATTGCTTCAGTACAGGCTCGGCAGGGGTTTTAAGGCCCAGAATACAGACATTAGATGTGGCTTGCTAAGTAGACTTGTAGATTAATTTGCCTTCTGGTTCCCATATCACTACAGGTATAAAAGGCAAGGAAACCACAGTTCTGTGTTCCTCCAACCTGGCAGGCACCTTACTCCACTGCCAAGACACAGAACCTCACCGTGTGTCTGTGGGATGCATAGGAGGTTGTGGGGAACCATGTGTACGTACCTGCATCATGTATATACTTTTCTTGATTTATTCACTGTTTTGAGAGGATATCAAAGTGAAAACAACCATAAATGATGACCCTATTGTCATTTTTGCATCCCTGAACCAAATCAGAGTCTGTGTTCTGACCTACCTTAGCCCCATTCTGGGTTCAGCTATCTCACCCTGACATCTATATCCTCAAATCTATTTTTAATTCAATCCTCTTCCCACCTCATTTTTCAGCCACTTCTCCCTTCCTTTGTGCATTGGATAGCCCTAACTCTGAACAAAGTACTTTTCTATTCAAAACTAATTCTCAGTTGTTTCCTTTGTCTCTCTTACCAGTAACTGACACTCGGCCTGGCATGTTCCCTACTGTCCTCTCCTATGGAATCCTCACCATCCAATTCCTTCCAACTTAGTAGAAAAAGCAGAGAGGACCAGATTGTGCCTAGAGTACATGTGGACCAAGGATTCATCATTCTTTCTCCACCAGCTTTCATGTGAAGTTCATACCATTGCTATTGGTTTAAAAAGAGTCAAGACACAGATGTGTTTTAGAATGCAACTGATCAGGATATAAATGTACAGTAAATTTCTTACAAATGAGAACAAAATTATTAACCATGATAAAACATGAAAACAGGAAGAACTTTATTTTGGCAGCAAACTCTTATTACCTGTAAAATACTGTAGCATCACCTAGAAATAGTAACTTTTTTAAACACTGTGTAGTTTATATATTAATCTGCATAAAAGTTATTTCTTGTAATTATCTTCAATAGAAATTATCTATAGATTATATAATTAATCATATAAAGTAAATATAGAAATAAATAAAATACTCTCCTCAATTTTCCTGATGACTTACTATGGTTTATATGTTTCAAAGATAAGGTAAAATCCTGTGAAATCACTATAGATTTCAGGAAGACAAGTTGTAATTCACTTAAGACAAATTTTATTATCTATCGTTAATATAGTTAGTAGTAAAAATGAACAAGCCATGTTTTCTTTTATAAAATGCCATGAAATTGAAGTTTTCTAATTAAACCCATAACATCTAAATGCCATCTACAGTTAAACTTTGGCTAACATGTTTGAAACACTAAGTAGAAAGAGAAACTATATAAAATCTTTAATATATTATCAAAAATAATTGTGGAAATTGCATTACAATTTAAAATAAGATTATTTAAAATATGGATTGTAAATTCTTCTAATTTTCATTGAAACAGATTTAATCTTGACAGGTGAGTTGTTTTTGGTCCATGTACCCCATTGAATTCCAGTTGCAAGCAATTTTCCAGGGAAGTGATGAATGCCATTTAGATTTGCTAGACCGCACTGGTTGAACCACCATCCAGTGTTGTTATTGAGGTGACTGCAGCTCTTAGTGGAGTGACCATTGACCAGGCATGCAGGGTGACACCCATCATTATCAACATCCGATGTGCTGAAAGGCATTCCATTTTGATTATCTTCTTTTCCGAGGCCCCGGAATGCATCACCTGGGTAAAATATATATATTTTTTAATGACTGAATTTAAAGGCAATTTCCATTATTTTTTTTTTTTTTTCCTTTGAGACAGAGTCTGGCTCTGTTGCCCTGGCTAG